TTCGATTGTACCACCAGTCCTATGGGGCATATGTGCCCTTGGAACACACAGTTGCCCAACCAAAAGAATGAACACCTTTGTCAACAGGTGTAGTTTCTGGACTAAGTCTAAGAAAGTCAGGTACACTCAATAATCTGCCAGCTGCCCAACTGTAAAACTACCTTAGTTATAGAGTCACCCTTAGGGTGATATGTCTCCTCACATTGTCATTCTCCATTGCTAAATACCAAAGGTGAGGCTCACAGAACACTTCAACATGTCAGTGACACAGCTAGTGCTTGTCATCTTGTAGGGCAGATCTGCAGCATTCAGAACTCCATTCTCTGAAGGCCCCGGGTTAGTAAACAGCATTGACTCTGGGAACATTAGTGACAGCCTCTTAGAATTTAAAACTACATAGAAGCAGAGAGAGGAAACCCTCCCAATGAGAAAAAGAAGTTAATCTTCACCTCAATGACCCAGGAAAGTCAGAGAAGAGACACAAAAGACCCCTCCATTCACCAGCTCTCTAGACTTCTTCAACCTACGTATATGCTGCTTTCCACTATTTTCTGCTTTTGAATATTTGGCTTTTGGATTTTGTATTAGCGTCCATGACAAGTGACACTGAAATATTATGCTTTTTGAGTATGACTTCTTTTATTTAGTACAGTGTTCTCTGGGCCTATCATTTGTGGAAAACGGCAGGTTCCTATTCCAAAGCTAGCTAGTGGTCTACTGCACACGTGTGCCAGTTTCTCTACCCATTCACTCATCCATGGACATGAGGCCATTTCCATAACACCTGTCAGGGCTGGCAAGCATAGTACTCTACTAAGGTTTTTGTTGCTCTTATTACCAACAAGTGAATGTATGAGAAGAAAACGGAGTTTGCTCCACTGTAAAAGGCATGGTATTGTGTCAATGCATCCAGTAACATTATGCTATAAACCACAAATACACACCACAGGATTTACTGAAAACAGATTTAAAGCCGTGTATGATGATGCACACCTCAGCAGTTGTAGGGGCAAGCACTGAGGCAGGAGGGTTGCAAATTTAATGCCAACCTCTGCTACATAGCAAAAAAATTCTCAAAAATTAAAAAAATTTTCTCAGATGCAGTGGTGTATCCAGACAGGGCTGTGTGATTGTCACAAATCTGCATCACTGTGTCCTCATCTTTCCAGTTACTAGACACTATAGTCATTACTCTTCTTGGTTATGTAATACTTATTGGTTGCTTAATATGACACTTTAATTTTTGAAATTTTAAAAGTTATTTTGAATGTATCTAATCAAAACCATTTTTATAGCTTGAGAAGCTAAGTGATGAGGACCAAGATTCCTGAAACATCATCTGTACCTACAGGGATGAGGTGACGTTGCAAGCAACTGAGTTCTTTATTCACTATTACAAAAACAAATAAAGCCCTCACCACCTACATTACCCATGAAGCAGGTCCATCAGTCATGGTGCTGGCTCCATGCTACCTTGAGCCCACTGTTAAGTTTTCCAGTAGTGCTTCCTCTGTACTTCACTGATGAGCAGGTAACAGCTAAAAGTATTTCTGGAGTGGGTAAAAATTCCACTATTGTCATCACCATGGAAACAGGAGCAAGGATTTGCCAGAACAAATGATCGGGATGTAGGAGGTGGTGTACATGCTCACAGTCTGTGTAGTTCTTGGGAGCCCACAGCAACCAGACTAGATTTGCTCTTTCCAAGAGTGGACTGGTGCCTTTAAATCAAAGTGAGTGAGAAAATTCCAGAACCCAACCAAGCAATAGTCAAGGCTATCTTCTTCTAGCTTTTAAAAGTATTTAAGAGAAACTTGGCTGAACTGTACCATAAAGGATAATAAATATTTTTATTATTATGCTTTCTGAGATAGAGTCTGAGGTAGTCCAGGTTGGTTTTGAACTCACTGTGTAGTAAAGGTTGGCACAAAAGAATGCTAAGCTGTCCACATACAGGCAACCAACACTAACTTACCTCCAGAATATACTGTTGGTATCCAATGGCCTATCTCTAGATCTCCTGAAGATGTTAGACTAACCCAGTTCATATCCATGGGTCATGTACTACACATCACTCACTAAGAATATTGAATCCATAGTTGCTCCTGAGCCTGTACTTCAGTGAAGGAAACAGAAATCTATAGTTTCATTATAATTTAGTAGGTGCTATTATTGGGGGATGAGGGGAGAGAGAGAACACAGCTGGACTAAAAGCTTCCCAGAAGTTTATTTCCAATCACAAAATGCCTTATGGTAGCGACTCCATTAAACACAACTCATCAAGAGAAGTTGTCCCTCCTTCTACATGGACTGTCATGATACATTCATCTTCTGTTTATGAAATCACAAATACATAATTGACAAAAGACATAGGACCCCATTCTTTAAAATCATGGCTTTCAGAAGAACACAAAATAGTGACGTCTATACATGAAAATGTATTTTGCAATCAAAAAGGCACTCCCTCTTCCCCTGTGAGGAGGGGAGAAAAGGCATCCTTGTCTCCCTTTCCTCACTGAAGGTCAGTGCTGTGTTCCTAGAACAATGGAGGGCAATATCCAGGGAAAACCCACTTCCTCTCCCCAACCTCCACTTCTACCAGTATCTGGAATGCTGCCATAGTCCCTACCACTTTGTGGCCAGATCCTGCCACACCTAAGCAAAGGCTGCTTAAGCACACCTCAAGCTTGGAGACTCCCCATAGAAATACACAAGTTTTGACTAGGAATTTAGTAGCTTTGTGTATTAGGGCCATTTCTTCATCTTTGGCAAGCATCAAATCTTTGCAGTAGTAATGGGAGTGGATCAGTATCCCTTCCTCCAGGCTGCTGGCATCAGCACCTCCCACTACTAACCACTTTGTTCAAAGAAGAATGCTGTTTTATTAATCTGTTCTTCAGAACAAATCAAACTCAGGAGCAATGCTTAAAGAGCTCCCCTCACTCACCAGCAAGCCACACACCAGCAATTTTAATCTAGAGCATCTTCACTAAGCAAACAGTAAGGCCACAGAAGGCTACTGCCTATCTCAGACTGTCCTCTTATTGGTAAGGATGCCACTGGATGGGTATTAGCTCAAGGGAAACCATTTAAACAAAGACTCCAAAGGGACACCAAGATGCAGCACGGTAAAATGCCAATTACACCCCACATAGTATTACTCTGGGTGGCACTGAAATACTATATAATTTATCCAGAAATCATAGAAACTGGCCTGGAGTTGCTTGTCAAAACATACCATCAGTTTGTTAGAAAAATAAGTGAATTTAGATCAATATGGACAAGTTGAAAAAATAAAGAACTCACATACAAAGCTCTTTGTTTCTCTCATCTACATGGCTTAAATGTCACATGTCAACCACATGATACTTAATCTTTGCTTTCCAACTTAGAATAAAATCTTTATACAACTTTGAAGAAAAGTGATCATTATAATTTTGAAAAGTTCTTAGCAATCTTCTTTTCTTTCCTTCTTCTTTTTTTAGTCATGTTTCTCTATATAGCACTGACTGTCCTGGGACTTGTTATGTAGACCACTCTGGCCTCAAGCTCACACAAATCAACGTTTCTTTGCCACCTAAGTTCTAGGTTAAAGGCATGTGCTACCATGCCTGACTCCTAGGAAATTTTCAATTGCAGTTTTATATAACACAAACCTTTTAACCTTCTCTAAATAACCAAGAATGGGGCTAGCGGTAAGAGCACTTGCTAGGCAAACAAGAGTCACTGAGTTCAAATCTCCAGCAACCATATAAAAGGTGGACATGTTTGTGCATGCCATGACCCCAGCATTGTAAGGAAGAGACAGGCAGTTACTGGAAACTCATTGACCAGCCAGTCTATCCAAATCAGGGGCCTTTACACTCATTGAGAGAGCCCAGCACCATTACATAAGGTGGAGGAGGAGAGAGGGAGACACCAGTATCCTCTCCTGGCCTCCATGTAACACGGGTGTGCATATCAGTGTACATACAATATTATATAACACACAGAGAGACAGACAGTTTTTTAAATGCCAGTTTTAAAACACAATAATCAAATAAGAAATATTAAAACTAGAAATAATGAGAAAATGGTTATGGATTTAGAGATAAAATTTTAACTAAGTCAGCATTCATTAAGAACATTACACATCCCCACATAACTATCATATTAGTATCAACAGCTAGACAAAGCCAGCCGAATTTTCCTTTTAATTGATAGCAGCAGGGAGCATTAAATTTGAAAACAGAAAATCCAGATTCAGATGAAAGCTTACTGATACTTGTTCGCCCTTGAGGCCATCCCTGAACATCTCTGAGCTTTGGCCTTTTTGTAGGCTAAGGTGAGCACAGTGATTGTCCACACTTCCTGAGTTGCACTGAGTGCATGGTCATGAGTACCACCCTCAGCAGACTCTTGGAACATCTACAGAGACCCGTGAATTCCAAGTTTGTTACTGCAGCTCCTGCCAGGGTCAATCACTCTTCGTGTGTGTTTTTCATTCTAAACGTTTCCCTTTCCATATGTGTGCTTGAGGGGAATGATAGCTTCAATTTACCGGGATTACATGAAGGTCAATATTTCACCTTTATGGGAAATGGTCCTCTTTGTATCTCAGTGCCCATCCTTTGTTCTCTTTTCTTTTTTATCTTTTATTTTAATTTACATTCCAACCACAGTTCTCTCCCACTCCTCCTCCCATCCACCCACCTCCTCCCTCCGTCACCTCCCACCCAACCCACCCCCAATCCACTCCTCCTCATGGGTAAGGGTTCCATGAGGAGTCAACATAGTCTGAGTGTCCATCCTTCTTATGTATAAGCTCACTATGGAATACCACATCCCATCCCCAAGAACTGCTGACTAGCATACAAACTCAGAGCCACTGTCTTAGCCTCCTGGAGACCTCCTCAGTGACATTCAAAATGTCTTAAGTAACTGCATACTCAATGCCAGTATAAGCCAGTAACAGATTAGTCACCAGAATGCCTTCTGCAAATCACTGGGATTCACTTTACCTCTTTCGCACTGGGGTCCAGTAAAGCCGTATGTGCACGCACACCGATTCGGAGCCACACACCTCCCTCCGTTGAGACAGCCACTTTCACAGACAGCTGCAAGGTAAGGAGAGAAAGTCTCACAACACTGCTCTTGGCCCCTCCCCCCCCAGAAAGGGAGCAAACATGGTGGAAATGATGACCCTGGTGTTTGCTTTGAACAGACACCCCTCGTAGAAACCTCCCAAACAGGTAGCTGCACCTGGTTGCTCTTACAGTCTCATCACAGGCAGCCCTGAAAAATGCTTTCAGATCTACACCTAAAGTGGCTGTTTCAAACTGACTTCACCAGATGCAAACTGCATGTGAGCAATGGACTCTTGTTCACGATGTTTAATTTTGAAAGGGCTCCCCTGAGGAGCAACAATACCCCTGCTGATAGCACCATTAACAGCAAGAGACCAAATGCTTTTGCTAGGACTGCATGATGATTAAGATCTACTTGAGTGTTGCAAGATCTAAGACACTCCCGATGAGGTATGCCCTGGAAAGCTTACCTAGAGACACACTAGTTTCCCCCCTCCAAAAACAAAAAAAGAAAAAGCATGACCAAGGACCGAGCGCTTAAGTACCGCCTTGGTCCTCCCTGCCCTTGCACTGTCTCCTCTAACTCCTGTATTCAAGACCTCATTGTAAGCATCTTCATGGGTGGTGGATAATTCCCTATCACGGTTAGCTTCTGGTCAACTTTTCACAGCCAGAGCTTTCTGGGAAGAGGAACCTTTATTTAGAAAAAAACGCTTCCAACAGATCGTCTATATGCAAGTCTGTAGGGAATTTTCTTGATTTGTGATTGATGTGGGGTGGGGGGAGCTCACTGCAGGCAGTGCCATCCCTGGAATGGTGGTCCTGGTTGCTGTAGAAAGCAGACTGGACAAGTTGTAAGGAACAAGCCAGTAAGCAATGTTCCTCCATGGTCTCAGCTTCAGTTCCTGCCTCCAGGTTCCTGCCTTGAGTTCCTGCCTAGACTTCCAGTGTAGTAATCTAAAGTCCATCCCTTCATATTCCAACTTCCTCTTCCTCTTATTTTCCACAGGGTTTGTTTTGCTTTTTTGACCCAATAAGTCACTTGTTCATCTCATCCCATCTTAGTGTGTGCTCTGCCCCAGAAGGTCTGAACGTGCACAGTACACACTGCTTAGAGTCAGAAATTGACATATCAGGGCAGGAGAGATGGTTCAGATGTTAAAGGCTAGGTTCACAACCAAAAATATAAGAAATTGAGATACGAGTTCCTTAATCACCATAAAGTTAGAGAGGTATCTCTCTCCTTTGCCTTTTACCTCATGGTCATGGTAGAACAGACAGAGAAAACAGAATGAGAAACTTCTTAGGTCAACTTCACATTTTACAGTTGAGGAAGCTGACATTTAAGAAAGGTTTTCCAGGTTGCATTCATTGACATCTGTTCATTCTGGGCTTTGGGTTAAAGTTCATTGGGGAGAGATGCCTGGCAGATTCCTGACTCCTTCTAAAGGCCAGGGACTCCATGCCCAGCTTTCATTCTGCAGCCAGAGCCTTACAATCCCTCCGTTCAGAATGATCTTTCTCACTGTAAATCCTGTCAAATGAAGTGGATAAAGCTAGTATTTCATTGTACTAGACACTCAGACTGTGGTGTGAGGTCCCTGGGGCTCCAATCCCAACCCTGATCATCACTGCCTGTGGATCATCAGAGAAATGACTGACAAATTTGAGCTCTGACTTCCACGTCATTAAAGGCAATATGGAGAGCTTCCAACTCAAAACCGTTGTTACGTTAAATCAGTTAATAGAGGTTGATTTTTTCATTACATTTTATTGACTGAGTGAGCGAGAGAGAGTGCACACACAACACACATGTGGATCAGAGGCCAGCACAAGGAAATTGATTCCTGCTTTCCACCAAGTGGGTCCCAAGGACTGGACTCAGGACACCAGACCTGGTGGCAAATATCTTCACCGGAAGAATTATTGTGCCAGACCCAAGAACGTAGCTTTAAAATATACTTGCCACATAGTAAGGTAGAGTTAGTAACTCAGTAAGTACAGTTCGCTGTTATTTTGTGTTTTAATTACTTTTTCTATGTAACTAGCAAGGAATAGTAAGCCTATGAAAAACTTGACCCATAGCTTCCTGTCTGACCATATTTCTCTCCCAGCACCTGACTTCACATTTCACCTCTATCCAGCATTAACAAAGCCCCTGATCTAGCTCCTGCTCCATGATATGTCCTGATCTAGCGCTGGAACCCACACTGGGACTTATGTTTAAAAGCCTATGACTCATCATCTGTGAATGAAGTCCTACACATCCCTTAGGACAGGGCCCAAGAGCTGCCTGAGCTACCTTGACTTCTCTCTTCTCTCCAAGTTGGGCTGCACAAAACTCAGTATTCTTGCCACATAGCAGTGTGGGGGTAATCACTGGGCATTATAAAATTGTTGGTTTATTTATAGTAGAATGTTTCATCATAGGAAATATACATACAATAGCAAGACTCAAAACAACATGAATAATAACCATTTTATTAAGTAAACATGTGTATGATGGAATTTAACATGACTGTGGAATAACTAATGACAGGAAAAACACTAATAATCAGATATTTAATATAAAAGATTATGGGCCTAGAAGGCAGTAATTGGATCATAGAATTATAGATTATTTTATTGTTGATGTCTTTGAATTTTCACAGACTTTCTATAGGGTGAGCAGTTGATCCTACAGTAATTAAAGAGCTCGCAAGATGACCTCTCATCCTATGCATTCTGCGGGGACTGGGAGTGTGCAGACATAATCAGAGGTGCTCATGAGCACCAGCACACTAGACACACATAGTAAACACTACAGTGCCAGAATCTCTTGGGGAGTAAGAGAGAGGCAAGCATCATTAATCAATACCAAAGAAATGTTTGGAAACAAAGATGAGATTTGTTTTGAAATGTTTTGGAGATGTTTCCTGAAAATACAGGTAGAGACAGAGAAAATCAATGGTAGGTGTTTGGAACTAATGCTGGGATTTCTTTTTGAAGAGAGAAAAATGCTCTAAAACTGGTTTTATAGTGATGATTACACTGTTAGATAAACTAACATTATGAAGACCTCCAATTTTAAAAGGGCATAGTGTGCAGTTTGTCAATTAAATAACTGGCAAAAGCTTGTTTAAGAAGAAGAAATCTGCCTGTAAATATAAGGCTTAAAAGAAAGTGAAGCAAACAACTTCCTATCAGCATCCAGGATGGAAATCCAGTACTATTTGGGGGTAATCTGTTCATCTCTAAGGCTTTCTAGACATCTGCAAAGATGTGGTGTCCCTGGTCTTTAAAGACAGTCTACAGCACCTGTCGCATAATACCACATGTCTACGTATGATCAACATCTACCACCAGCCATACTTACGTTGTCCACAGTGTGTGCCAATGTATCCCTTCTGGCAAAGACAGTGGTCATCGCTGCAGCTACCTCCATTCATGCAGCGAATGTTACAGTGTTGAACTTGAAGGGAGAAAATGAAGAATAACTTAGTTTTGCAATTTGAGTGCATAGATGGCAACATTTTGCTAGAGACGGTTTATAGCTATTTGACAAGAAAATTAAATAATTCATTGAGATTGATATATCATGCAGATAGCAGAAGGGTCCTAATTATCAGGACTCATTATATTATATATAAAACCATTTACAGTACAATTAAGTTTTTTTTCTTGGTATTTGCTCTAATGGGGCTAAATGACTTTCCCAATTTAGCAGAATTTACCATTCAATGTCATCTCTGTAATTTATACCAATAATAAAGGAGCGATGACACATGACAAGGTTAAGGTGGCAATGACTCTATGAAAAGATTCAGAATATGAAGCATCTGGACATGGAAACAGTCAGATAACAAATTCCACTGATTTTTGTCCCATTTGGGGGGTAGGATGAAAGAACTTACTACAGGAACCAAATAGCCAGAATGTTTGATGGGTAGAGATTTGGTGTGCTCACTGGATTATACCCAGAAAGAGCTGCTCATTTAAACTGTAACCTTAATCTAAAGACCTGTCAATATTTCACTTTCGTTCTGTGTCTCATTCTCACCCACAGAAGTGTGCATTACCAAGCCCATGGGTGGACACCACTAGACCCAAGACAGTAACCCACTTGAAGAAGTGGAGTCTTAAAACTGGCTGATACATTCTCCTACAAGAGATGATAATAGTCACTGTTAGGATAGGCTCATGCCTCTAGCATGCAGGCTGTCTCTATTTTAGAAATAGGGATGTGCTTATAGCACTTTCAAAATGTCCAGCTGGTTCCTCCTCTCTGGAAGCAATAACTACCATACCTAGAGAAGACTTGGTTAAGGAAATAGTGAGTCCTGTTGACACCCTCTACATAGGAGGCTATTCTTGGGCCCTGGAGATTTGGCTTATTCTGGCCTACCCTATGTGTAGGAGTCAATTCCCAGGGGAAAGGGCTCCATGGAAAACTGAGGGTTTTCCATCTATGCAGAATCTGGAACCAAGGGCTATACTCTTTCTCTGGCTGTCTTCCTGGAATTCTCAGGCCAAACCTTCTACCAAGAATACAGGAGAGTCCTCCCCACAGCCAGCCTCATCAGTGAGAGATCCTCACAGCAGTGCTGAAGTAACTACTTGACTACTGGGCAGGGGAGGGTGTGGGGGGGAGTCATTTGTCTAATGAGCTACAAATACTCTGAGGTTAATCTAGCCTGACAGCAAGAAAAGGAAAATTCAAACTCCTGTTCTTACTGTACCCTCTTAGACACAAAGAGAAGTCAAGTTGAAAGAGTTCTCCCTTTTCAAGACTGCTTCCCTCTTACAAGAATATCATGGAAGGCTGTCTTTCTCCTGAACCAAAAGATTCCTGTCTCTCAGCACTCAAGGCCTCTTCACCAGAGGTCCTAAAACACAGTCTCCTGACCCCTAAACCCATCATCCAGTCCCACAATAAATAAGTCTGCATGCCTGTTACATGTCACACAAAATGCTAGGCACTTCAAGCTGGTCTCTTTGTGGAACCCCTGGGAACCTTCTGTTTCTCTGCCCCTATTCTTAGAGCCCAAACTAAAGTTTTCATCAAGTCCCACTTCTTTTAAGACCCTTTAATGTTTCTCCAAGACCCTTTAAATGTTTCTCCATTTTCTTTTATGACATCTGTTCTTTCCTCCCTCTCAAACCAGATGGGAGATGGTGAAAGTGAATTCCTTGGCAAATATCTGTGAGCACGCGCATGCATGCATGCATGCGTGCATGCCTGTGTGCGTGCCTGCCTGTGTGTGTGTGGGTGCATGTGTATTCTTTTCTGGTTTCTCCTTTCCATGACTCATTTTTCTTGAGAGTAGGAAGTGTCTTGACTATTAATTACATCCCTCAATGTGCCCAGAGCAGCACTGTTAATTCTATTGCTTAGCTACCTATGCACAGAAACTACACTTGAAGAGCAGCTGGGACTAAGAAGCTGTCCTTTGTGTCCTAGATGCTTGTACAGTTCTAAGCAGATAATTATTCAAATATTTTTATCTTTTTTCCTCTATCCACAAAAGCTAACAACTCCCACTTGAAACACTGCTACGGACATCAAGCAAACCAATCTCACGAACTGTTTCTTGAGGCTCCAGTAAAACCTCTCAGCCAAATGCTTTTTAACGCTAATGCTATCTACAAGTACCAAGGGGAAAAATGGTAAGAACTTTGGATACTATTCTAAATGGGTCAGGAAATGGTGCACAATTGCTTTAAAATTTGGTGCTATGCTTAGTTCCATCCTATCTTAGAAAAACAGTGAGGATTGGGAAAAGGCAGGAAATGACGTCACCCTTAGAGCAAACACGGTGCACAAACTGATTTCAATTAAAGTGGTTCATGCCAAGACCTGATTTCCATTCCCACATGAGCAACAAAGCCACTTAGCCACTCAGAAATTTCAAACAGGAAAAAGAAAAGAACTACCAGGGGATTGCACGGTGGCTTCCCAGTTACTTGTTCAAATTGAAAGTCAGAACAAATTCTCCTTTTCAGGGAGAGTGAATTATGTGTACACTGAAATGTGACAAATCAAAAGCCTCCCTTGGTATGGCTTTCATTTCTTTAAATCCCCTCTTTCCAGTTGAAACTTTTCCAGGTTAAAAATATTATTTCTCCTTTAAAAAACAAAAACACTCTGGAAGGCTGGTAAGTCTAAAAATCTCTGTGAGTTCAGTGGTCACACAGCCCCACGGGCCGTGAGTCCTCAGGTGCCGTGTGCAAGCAAGGTTATCAGCAGAATAGAGTCCTCCATCATGGCTACACGATGGGTGGGTCTTACAGCCTAAAGGAAAAGCATCCCTTTAGAAGTGGGACTGAGCCTAGCAGAGAGGCTTATTTCTGAAACACCATAGCACTTGAGGCCGAGGCTAAAGTGTTGGCATGAGTTTAAGGCCAGCCTGGGTTATACAGTAAATTCCAGTAATGTACAGATTGATATTTTGTCTCAAAAGTTATTTTAAAAGTTGGCACAAATCCAGCATTTCTGTGAGAAAATAAAAGAACTAGATATTTGGATTCACCGTTGCCACCCAAGCTGGAAACAGTTTAGAGAACCCAGACCCACAGATAGGTTTTCATTTGGATTGAATCTGTCACTGGTGCCTAGTCTAAATTTACTCTCTAATTAACAGGAATTCTGGATGTTTTATAATTAGCAGACAAGAGTCTGTCAAATGGAAAAAATACACACACTTTGAAGCAGAGTTCTACTTCACCTGTAGGATGCAAGGCATCCTTCACTGGGTGTGCTGAATGCCACGCATTCAACCTGGGTTGAGATCTTATCAGAAACAGAATACTAGGAAAGTCTAAGCTATCTTGGGCAAGCTGAGGCTGTCCTATAAGTCAGATCCCCAGTGAGAAAGCCTCACCAAAGATGGCCAGATGATCTCAGACCTTTCCATGCCAGGCTCCATATCCCAGAACTAACAGAAACTGTCAACATTTACCCGTATCCACAAAAAGTCCCAAATAAATTTCACCTTCATTTTAGAATCAGTCAGTCCTTTCAGTCATTCAACATATGCTGACTGATCGTTCTCTACTGAAGAGGTGGCAGGGAAGACACTAAAGTCTTTCTTCAGAAAACACAGTGCAAACCCATTAGAATGACTAACTCCAAAGGAATGGCATGCATGCACCACAGAAAGGAAGAGATGCCGGGCTGACATTTGGCTCTCAGCATCTCAGCAATGACTCCCTTCGGAAGACCAGCCATTATATCTAGGCAGAGAGAGCACTTGGGGCAAATTCCAAATAAGCAACTATAGGCTGAATGTGCATTCTAATTTCATCACCAAGAGAAACACAAACAGACAAATGCAATAGCTAGGCCAGTTCCTGGACCTTACGCCTGAGACAACAATCCACTGGGGTGTCCTGAGTCACCATAAGACAAGAAAAGTTTTCATTTGGACCAATAATTCCCTTAGGTGCCTAAATATCCATGGGTGCCTACAGACACACACAGCTTAGAACACCACCAGATCATCTCCAAAAACTAAAAGTTACCTGACCTAGAAAGGATTCAGGAAATGACAAGTTGAGTGGCATCTGTGATAAGATATTTCCATAAAGTCTGAGCAGACAGCAAACCATTCAACAAGCCCAAAGGGTAAGTCTAGGCAGCTTTTAGGTACTCGTCCCTGTCACTGTAAACTCTACAGATCCTAAAATGCGTTTTCCAGAGTCAAACCTTACAGAGTACAGCACTAACCTCTCTTCCTCTGAGCCCACTCACATTCTGGCACATGACTGTACCCCACTCTCAACCTCCCTTGGAATTCCTGTGTTCTTGGACCTATACTGGAAACAAAAGTGTCCCCAAACTCAACTGGAATTGAAGGAAACAGAAAATGACAACACTTGAAAAAGATGGACTTCTACTAGGTGGGAATACTCCTCAAATTGATATGCAGATGTAATAAAATGCCTCTGAAAATCTGCAAAGGTTGTGGGCAGGTAAAGAATTGCCAAAACAACTCCGAAAAGAAAGAAGAAAGTAAGAGCCTGAACTTGTATCACGTGGCTAAGGGACCAGGGTTGCGACAACAGAGAAGGAATAGGTCAGTGGAGCAGCAGAGAGCCCAGACTCACAAAAACAGCCCCTGTTGACTATCGACAAAAACACAAAACTAATCTTTGTTAGCTGGGTTTCTATCACTATATCAAATATTTGACTTAATCAGCCTACAGTGGGACAAGGGTTACTCTGCTGTGGAGACTCCGTTCTACAGTCTCGGTCCCATGGTTTTGTGCCTACAAGGAAGCAGTACAGGATGTGGCAGGGAATGATGATTCACCTTGGGGCAAGAGGACATAGGAAAGCAAGAAGGGGTCTGTAGTTTCACAGTCACCTTTTGGGATCCAGTCACCTGAAGACCCCTCCTTAGGGATGTTTCATCACTCCCAACATCTCCTTGACCTTTATAAGACATTTAAGAGCCAAGTCAAAATTAAATACCCAAAGGACAGAATTTTGTTTTTTGCTGGAGCAACTGGACACTCATAGGTAATAACTGAATCACACTTCATACAAAAATCTGTGTCCACAGAAATCACAGATGTAGATGTAAAACTATACACAACTCTGTGATCTAGGGCTAGGCAAAGCATGCTTGTACTGGGCACCAAAAGCAGGAAAGAGCCAAGGAAAGCTGATAAATTAGAGCTCGCTAGCTTTGAAAACTTGCTTCGTGGAAGAGCTGATGTACCACTGATGATGAGGAAGCAAGCTCTGGAGAATGGCTTGTGAGGAAATGTCTTCAGATCACACATCCCGCAGTGCTAGGATTTAGCGCATGAGAACTTTGCTGGTGTAGTTTGAAACGTGTAGAAAGATATCTCCCCATTTAGGTTCTGCAGGGCATTGGAGTCAAACGCCACCTGTCAGAACAGCTTCCTTCCACCCTTTCCTCAATCATATGAGAACAATAAGAGCTCAGAGGTCCATGACTGCCAGCCCTCATCACCCCATCACATAACAAGTAGAATTTGTTCATAGGCTGAAGCAGTGAAGTGACTGCCAGGAATCAGACCTATCCAGCCTGCAGCTGTATGCGTCCCAGGGTAGCTATGAATGCAGCCAAACCCATTTGTAGATGACAGCGTGCTATCACAATGTCAAATGGTTAGACACTCTGAAAACTGACCCCTTCTAGCAGAACAGGGAGCTGTATGAAAACATCTCACTGATTGGTGTTATCCCATCAGCATTATCGTGTGATCTATATATATATGAGTATTACAGGCTGACCATACCTTCTGTAACACAGCCCACCAAGTTCACTAAACATGGTTTCCAAAGGCCAGAAAGGAATTCTGACCATCCTCAGCTACACTTAATTTTTTAAATGTTGCCATCTTTATTTTTTTCAAGCTCTTAAGACCATGTTAATTCTAAGAGAGTCCAAGACAACATTTTTTTCCAGTTTATGTACATGTTTCTATTTTTTATTTTTTTATTTAGGTTAGAAACAATCAATCTTGTTTCACATGTCAATCCCAGCTCCCTCTCCCTCCCCTCCTCCCCTGCCCTCCCCACTAGGTCCCCCACTCCCCCACCCAATCTCCACTCCGATCACCAAGGAGGGTGAGGCCCTCCATGGTGGATCTCCAGTAACTGTCATTACATCCAGGGCAGGGCCTAGGCCCTCCCCCAAGAGTCCCAGCTCAGGGAGCCTCCCATATTGTGGCATGGGCACTCAAAGTCTGTTTGTATGCTGGGGGTAATAATTTTTAAAACTCTGTATATCCCAAAGATCTTGATGAAGTGACAGTCTCTTCTATATACTCCTCTGGTCTACACACAGGTCCAGGGCTTTATCCAACGCTCAGGTACCACACACAGATCAAAAGTCTCCCGAAAGTGCCACCTACAAGGCTCAGACTCCAATCTCTAGCTTAAGCCTGGCCTAGGGTCTTACCGCTATACTCTTTCCAACCTCAAGGCTAGTTTGAAGTATACTGGGACCACACTGGTCTTGTTAAAGTTCTGTCCCTGCTTCATGATTTTTATTCACAAAGACGTCACGAGGATTAACTTTCTATCTGAACAGTCAGTTGTATTTTCTTCCCTTAAAGTGCTAATAAAGTAAGAGACCAATCTAGGGAAAGGGTTTTATTCATATCTTGATAGCCATGCTCATTCCAACACTGAGGCTATCTCTCCTGGATAACAGTCCAGGGTCTGCAGACCCTGTAGAGGTGGGAATGTCCTGTACATTCCTGAAACTTCCAGTTGATTTCACTGTCTCTTTCTGTTCCTCCAACCTGGGTGCCCTTGATGGCTTAACTCAGCTTGTACATGCAAAAGCAAGCTAAGATCAAGTAAGAATATGCCATGCTCAGTGTGTGGAATGAGAGTCCCAGACCAGAAGGAAATTGCTATCCTGATCTACAACCAGCTTCATTTAGTATTAAGCCATCTTTAATTGGGTTCCAGCAGAAGCAGACAGTTTCAACAAAGGTAGTTTGCTTGGGAGTGACTTCAGAAAGCAACACTGTGGGCTGAGGCTGAGTTCTGGTCAGGAATTACAGGACACAGTACATGACAAATCTCAGAGCCATCCAAACAGGGAGCACAGAAACCAGAGCCCGATGTTGGGGAAGTCCTGTGTATATGTCAATAAAGCACTGCTGGCCAATAGGAATCTAGATATGTGGGACTAGGAGTCCAAGAGGACTCTGGGAAGGAGAAACACGGGGAGTCAAGATGTAACGCCATGGGGTAGGAAGCCCGGAACTATTCTCCGGTAAGAGAAATACTTAGATTAACAATTATGGGGTAATTACTTAAGTCAGAGCTATCCAGTAAGAAACAAGCAAGGCCAACAGCTTCATAATTAATATAGCCTCCTGTGTGTTTATTTGGGACTCATGCGGCTCTAGAACCAGGCTGGCGGGAAGGCTTCTCTCAAGGGAAAAGTTTTCCTTTACAGAGCCCTACTCCAAAACCCTCATCTGCCACTGGTTGAAAGTTGACTGTGTGCCCACTGACCCCAAAGCCCTTCCCACTTCCTCTGCTCTGGCCCATCCCTAGACAGGAAAAAGTTGTTCAAGCTTTCAGACCAAGTTCACATGCTTCCCTGTGAGTGGGCACTAAGATGGTCTACTGTACCAGACAATCCAGCTGGCCAGCTACTGGGATAATAAAGGTCACAGCTTCATGTGAGGCCTCTCAGCAGAGAGGGACCCTTGACACACTGTAATCTCTACTTGTACCAGACCAAAGAGAACATGCTCACTCTACCCCAGGGATCCTGAAAATGTCCTCAGATACAGAATAGCAGTAAGGAGAGTGCATTTTCTCCCCAGAAACTGGAAGTGAAATACAGACACACGTTTGTTTTGCCTTGGCAGTAGTTGGGATATCGGGGACTGTTTATACAGACATGAACTTTAACTTTTTAAACAATTAGTAAGGACTAGCCTCCCAGCCCTCACATTTCCCCATTCCAATACTTTGGATACCACACTTAAAAGAAACAATAAAACCAGAAAGCAATGAATCTCTAGCATAAACTGTGGATGTTTATGTGACGAGACAGAATAAATGCCATGTCTTATGTCATGTCTGTATGTCACTATCTCTCATGTTTTCCTCATGGAAAGGCAAGTGTCTTGAGTTTCAAATAAGTTCTTCATCAGATTGGTTTCATATTTCAGTAGCACAAATAAAAATGGCTAGTTTTCTGGAGCCAAAAATGTTCATTATATGGTAAGATCTGTGTTTCCATTAGAGATACAGAGATGAACACAGCTGTACCAACATAGAAGGTGATCATTTTTATGCTCTTCCTATACCCCATAGGCAATTTTCCTATACAGAGTGAGGAAGGGAAGTGGGAGGTTAGATCCAGGAATGCCTTTCCAAGAATTCTGGCCAAAGTAGAGAAGGCAGATGTTCTAGTAGGGGAAAAAAATGTATTGCAGGGAAAGAAAAAAACTAAAAGCAAATTTAGGAGAAAATAGGGCATAACCACATTAAATAATATCATCTATAATGACATGTTAGACTCACTGGATCTGGAGCCACAGGAAGGCGATATCTGACCGGACGGGCAAGTGCACATATTTGGCCTCGAGCAGAATCCATCCCCACAGGAATGCCGGCAAATGGCTGCAAATCAAATCAGAAATCTATCAGCATGTGAGTTCCTCGGCACACAGTTATGCACAGGGACTTGGTGCTCAGATTAGGGGCCTGGGCCCACTGGCCCTTGTGTACTCATTTACATAGCAAGTCTTCCAGAGTAAAAGAACTCTAGTTTGAAGTCAGTAACTCCCTTATTGATATTGGTAGCTCTCTGCCTTTCTGCTTATTCAACAGAACCCAGTAGCTCTAAATCCCTGGACAGGCTAACGAAGAGAAAACAAAACAAATAAAAATTTTGTAGCTAAACGTATTTATATTCTTACAAGAACTGTTCTCTTATATTAATTTATAATTTAATAATAGAAGGCTTATAACAGTGTTCTTGGCAGATGATTTTATTGTAAACATTTAATTGTTACTCTGTTCTGAATTACAATGACAGCCTGGGGGGCAGGGAGAATCTGGAATCCACCATTTAGTGTTGATTCCACAGTCAAGGAGACATTCTCATTGTCAGTGTCACCCAGAGTCAAATGCTATAGTAGGGTTCTGAGAGGCAACTAAATGACAGATAACTAAGAGGTATCAGCAGACTACGGTTCGGTCACTATTTCTTAGACTTATTGGCACAGTGTGCACCTTTGCCCAAACTCAAGAGCCTTGTAATATGCAAATGTGATCCAAAAAGCTAAATTAATATACAGGGTAGAATGTACATTGAAACACAGAAAAAGATCTCATAGATATGGCAAGATGTTATTAGATGGGCTATCACAGAATCACAGCAATGTTTATTTTAATGCCTAATGCAAACATTCTGTAGAGAACTCCAAAGAGCTAGGAGAAAGGATTCAGTTGTCATCTCCTTTAGAGAACTCCATATTCTGCCATCTCTGCTAAGTAAATTTAGTGTGTGTGTGTGTGTGTGTGTGTGTGTGTGTGTGTGTGTGTGTGTGTTGTGGTATGGTGTGTTTAAACAAGGTCTCTATGTATATCCCTGGCTGGCCTGGAACTTGCTATATAGATCAGGCTAACTTCAACCTTACAGAGATCCATGCCTGCCTTTGTTTTAAAAGACATGTTCTCACTAAGTAGCCCAGGCTGACCTCAAGTTCTTGATCTTCCTGTCTCAGCCTCTGGAGTTCTGGGGTTATAGTGCATACTGCCACAGTCAGCTGTGACTCAACTTTGATCATTAAAATTAGTCCTTGCCTTTACTCTTTGTCTAAGAGTTAGACCTGCTTTTATCCTCAAATTTAATATACATGGTTTGGGGAGGCCCGGGCACATTACAGCCAAACAGGGAGAAATTACAGTGAGGAAGTCCGTAATGAGAAGCCTTTGTTCAAAATCCCATTAGCATGATTACACTAGTCTACCCAGAGAGGAGCAGCTTGTGCAAACAGCACACATCTTTAATCAAAGTGTCCCCATGGCTCCATTCTGTAGATTTAGAAATGCTCTAAAGGAAATCGCTGATTAAAGAAGGACAATTCTTGGAAAGTTATTGTGTTTCCCAAAGGGGAATTCTTAGCTCCAGGAGGCTAAGCTAAAACACATTAATAATATTCAGCAGCAAGTATGACTGTAGTGAGATATCTACCCTGCCCACACCTGTAGCACTGACCACGCCCATTTGAGTGTGGTCACAGGTTTGGATATGATGGAGGGTAGGATGAGATCTGGGGTCCCCTACCCAGTGCCCTCTCTGCTTCTGGTTGGATCACAGAGGACAGCCTGGGTGGATCCTTGGAGCTGGGTAAGACAGCCTTTCTACCTCCCTGCTTCTGTATTGGTCAGTCAGCTGGTTGCCCTACACTGCTGTGAGGCTTTGGGTGACTGTCCAAGTAGCCTGATGTTTCTGTCTTCACTGCACCTTTTGGAAGTTGCTCGCCTGCACTTCCTGCCTACTGTAGTTTTGTTATCCTCCTTCCCAGGTCTTTGATGAGGTTGAAGGTTAGACTGTCATAATTATTGTTCTCTCTTCCTAGATAGAAATATTAGATACAAGACTTAAACTCTATAGTAATCTCTGTTGTGCCTTTCCCCTAGGACTGGATATGTAGCTCTTGCCATTTGCTCTAGTTGCTTCACTGGCAATAGGTCTTAAGTGTATTTGTTCTTACTTTTCCTTCTCCTGGAGCATACTTGATATTGCTCTCTTTGTATCAAGTGTAAATCTTTTCTTTATACTAAAAGGAGAATTGTAGTGAAATACCCACTCTGCCCACACCTGTAGCACTGACCACACCTGTTTGGGCAGGTGGAGGGTAGAACTAGACCTGGGGTCCCATTAAACCACAGTGCTTTCTCTTGCTTCCAGTCGGGTCACAGAGGACAGCCTGGGTGGATCCTTAGAGCTGGAACCTGAGGTGGTCACCCACCTCTTGTGTAAGTGCATTCTCCCCAAATAAACTTCACTTAACCTATACTGAGTCTAGTGAATCTTGATTCCCACGCAATATGTCATCATGCAACTGAAGCCATGATAACATGCAAACGATAGGTTATGTATTTACTTACGGACAATACACTGATTTCCACCAGGTAAAGTTTTCCATCCAGGACAACAGTATGCATTATAACGTGATCCACAGACATTGGGTCTGAAACAAAAACACAGAATTCCATACTTTGAAAAATAATATATAACCAAATGAGAGAGAAGGAACCCCTAAGCAGAGTGAATTCCAGCAAACAGAGAACAGTAAAATTTGGGGGCCCAGTCAAGTTGAGTAGCTTAGGGCATTTGGAACATTTTAACCTAATACTAACACATACATAGTACACCAGGCCACGAAAACCCAGAGATGCCAAAGAGAGTGCCTGCCATCTGAGGGCACAGATGTGAAAGCCAAAGGAGCTACGTAAACAGGTCCAGTTTAAAACAACTTCCTACAAACCTGGATAAGAAAGATCATATTAAAACCTGTAACATGCAAAGTTTTAAATGTCTACTCTCATACATGACACATTTACCCCCTATCTGGCCCAGCATCCCTCTAAAATGTTACCACATTCTTTAATTACAGGAATTCTAACTCTATCATCAGTCAGAAAAAAAAAATAAAGTCCAAAACATGTAAATATTTCTTTAGCAAAAACTTGGAAACAGACAATACCAGAAATCACTGGAAAATCAAAGCAGTATCACTCTGATTTTACTGTTTACAGACAGCTTGTCACGTGACTTGGAGCAAAGCCTCCATTCGGAATCCAGAGGGTCATCTTTAATGTTCCTGAAGGCAACTGGGGGAAAGTGTAGCTACTCCTGTATCAGAAGATGGGACACAGACTGAAAAGAGCTAGCCCTCCAGTGTGTGTATCCTCTGAGCTTAAACATGGATGCCAGTGGCTGGCAACAGCTAACTAGAAAGTTCATGTGCTGACCCAAACGGACCTCTATATCAACCCCTGACCCAAGACTCAGGGAGCATCACGAGCGAGGACACAGAAAGAACATGAGAGTCAGAAGACAGGAGGAGAGCTGGGAATGCTGTCTTCTGAACATGGCCTGGCTGATGTGTTCATGGACCCACAGCAGCTATGGTTACCCACTCGAGATCAAGCCAGTCAAAATCCCAGAATGGTTGGGGGATGGGTCATGAGACCTCCCACTCCTAGTGGAGGAACTTTTGGAAGTTGATGGCTGCTGGGGGAAGAAGTCACAGCCTCTCATTCATGCCCACGTGGGCAGCAGCAATTGGACTCAGTAGGTTATTAACTAAAAAGGAAGAAGAGGAAATTAATGAAGTTGGAGCAATAGGACAATGTGGGGGCCAGTCTGGGAGGAGCTGGAGGAATTAGTAGAAGTGGGTGTGATAAAACACATAATATGAAATTCTCAAAAAGTGTTTTTTTAAAGGGTCACGTGTTTTACAGTCAATTTCACAAAACAGAAGACATTCCAAGGCTTTCTAGTATAAATACCACAGTCCCTCAAGGATAAATCTTCAACACAACTGCATGGCTAAAACACGCTTCTCAGCTGGGATGCATCTACAATCTAGATGCAAAGTCCTCCTGCTTGAACTCTACCCATCTCTCTATCTCTTGCAGGAAAGGGGATTCTGGTAAAGTCTGTGTCTGTCCTACATCATTTCTATAATTCTAGAAATTCTGGAACAATCTATAGCGTACAATGTTCACTCTAGACTGGCTGATGTCAGGGTCAGAGGGAAGAATTGGGCTGACAGAACAGAACCTTGAACTGCATACCCAACAACATGAAGTATGAGTTTTAGACTCTAGAGACATAATTTCATGGCCTCCCTTTTATTTCAGCACACATTGTGATAATACAACCTTTACCTTGTCACCAGTGTATATATGCATAAGTTTGTGTGCATGAGGGTATGCATGTATGCATGCATGCTTATAAAATAATGGGCATTCGGGTCCTGCATGTAAGAAAGACAATGAAAGCACAAAATACCATTATCATCCAGATGGGGTAATTTTACCTACTCAACTTCTTCAGGAAGAGACAACAGTGTATTAAAAAATGTCATCTGTGAGACAGGAGAGAAAGCTCAGCAGTTGAGGACTTGCTGCTCTTCCAAAGGACCTGTGTTCAGATCCCAGCACCCACATGGTGGCTCATAACTGCCTGTAATTCCACTGCCAGGGGGTCAGACACCCTCCGGCTTCCACAGGAATTGGGCATGCACATAGTACACACACATATATATATATATATATATATGCAGACAAACTTCTCATACAATTAAAGCTTTAGGAAAATAATTTAACCTCATGGATCTCATAATTTAGTCCTTTATGTGACAAAGTCTCATTTAGTTCCTCATGTGACAAAATTGAATCTCAAACCTCAGTATGCAGAAGATTCTTGGCAAGTAAAAGCTTGGAAAGAAATGTATAGGAAAATAGGACACAGGGATGTGGGGAGGAAGGGACTCAAACATTCTAAATTCTATCAGTTTAAAATGACAATCCAGCCAAACTCAATTGCCTCAACCCTTCCCCATCAACAGCCCACTATAGCAGCTCCATTGGATCCAGTCCAGACTCCAAACCAAGCCCTGGGATTGCTTCAAAAGCCCCCTGAGCCTTTGCAGGGTGCCCAGTGGTTAAAATACTGTTTTTTCAAGTAAAAACCAGGACTGTCTGACATAAATGAGTGCATTTATGGAATGACGTCACATAGGCCATGGTGAAAGAGCTAATGGCAAAGGTCCAGGGTCAGTCATTTCAGTCCTCCAAAGCAAGATATTCAAAAGATTTCCCCCCAAGGCACCCAAAAATTTAGTACTGTGAACTTGCTTTCTATATTTAGAATCATTCTATCACCAAAAATCATGGAAGACTACAGAATTTACCACAGTCACAAAATAGGAAATTAGTGTTCTAAGTCACAACACAGAGCTAGGAAGAGGACTCACTGGGTGAGAGCTCTCAGTGTGCAAGGATGAGGAGCTGACTTCAAATCTACATAAGAAGCCTGGCCCTGTGGCAGGCACAGATCACGGTGGCCACCAGCCTAGGTGTCCTTTCAGTGAGATGTTCATCTCAGCAGACTGAAGGAAAGCATGATAGAGCAGGGTACTTGACATTCCCTCTGGCCTTACACACGCACACAGACAGATACACTACAAATCTACTCACACACACATTCAATTTGTTTAATAAATAAATAATTCCTTAGTTGACATGAATTCAGGAACAAATTGGAAAGAAAGGTTTGGAAATCAGTAAGACAACTGATCCAATAAGCACAGATGCTAAGAATATTACATAGTAATTAAAAACAACTGAAAAATGAAAGTTTTCTCTTTAGGCCCATCTGGTCTTCATAGTAAGTTCTAGACCAGCTAGGGCTACACAGTGAAATCCTCTTTTCTGCCCCCCAAAAGCCAAAACCACCTCACCAAAAGAAAGGAAGCAAAGGGAGATAAAATAAGAATCTCCCAATGAGCTAAGCCGTCAGCTTTAATTGTAAGAAACCAATGGCTATTGAGTGCAGACATAGTGGCACAGGCGTAGCAGATACTACTGCAGAGACGAGCATGAGATCTGAAACAGAAATGGGCACTGAGGAAGCAGCCTGGAGGCGATTTGCCTCATCACTTACTTACTGCCATTACACCACTGCTCGTGCTCCAAATCTTAAATACTTGGCTAATAATCTGATCCTCATCTTTAAGCTAAGTCATTACTTTTGGGTTTTTGGGGGGGGCAGTGGGGGAAGATTCAAGAAATGGTTTCATTGTGTAGCCCTGGCAATCCTGGAACTGACTCTGTAGACCAGGCTGGTCTCCAACTCGGAGATACACCTGCCTCTGCCTCCTGGGTGCTGGGATTAAAGGCGTGCAGCACAACCACCTAGCCAATAATTTTAACTTTTATATTAGATAGCATACTTTTAAGTTTTCAGTTGTTTCGATCAACATCATCCGATGATGGTTTTTAATCTGATTCTCTTTCGTATGGCTCCACAGAGTGTTAAAGGCAATTTTAGTCTGGAGAATTGTGAACTCACAGAAATTTCTTGGACATGCTGAGTAAAATTTGTTCTACTTGCACACCAACTTTTTAAGGCTCCAATCTAGAAACAAATGAATGTCTTGTTTTAGTTGGAAGGCAGTAAGATGTGTAAAAGTCTAAGGAGACACACTGAGTTGTTTTCATATTAAAGGTTATTACTCTAAGATTTCAATACAAACAGCATTTACAAAGAAGATACATTTTTAATGAAGTTACTATTGTGTAAATGTGAGTATAGCATGCATGTGACTTTTTCCTTCTTTTCATCATCCTCTCGACTGAGCCACAACTCCTTAAACATCACAGTTAACTATCCTGTGCAGGTAGCAACAGCCTTTGTCAAGTCAAGAAGAATTAAAATTCAGAGGGAACAGAACTTTCCACTAAATGCTAGGATTCCATTCTTAGGTTTCATTTTCATAGCAACTCTTTGAGGTGAATACTGCTGGTATTATCTTCTACTCTAAGGAAATTGGGGCCTCAGGAAGGTTAAAACAACTACCAAAATCCTGTATCTTAGAAATACATCATGGGTGAATCTGAACTCAGGAAGTCTGCATTTGAGTCTATTCTCTTAACCAACAAATTAGGGCACAGATGTATTTAGACAGGAAGATAGTATTTTACTCAATGCTTCCTGTAGTGATATAGATAATAAAAAAAAATCACAACCTGTCTACTGATAAACTAGAGATAAAGGATAAATTGGTTTTTACCTGTATTCTTATAAGTCTGTGGAGTGAGGGGGAACATGTATATATTCTACTTCATCATTGTAACACTTTTTTAAAGAGTTAGGCTTTCATCTGTAATTTCTCTTACCCAGCTCCATCATTCTGGGGGATGGTGAGCCTCAACAGGCTTGCTGTTGGAGCCAGTTCAGACACAGCACTTGGAGACTGTGTGGGCTAACTAAAGCCTCTCTCAGTAGAGCAAACAGCTGGGCTCTACCACGTCTGACCACATCATTGCAGGAATTGGCCTCTGTACAAGATGTCTGCAGATGTCCACATTCCTCTAGCCAGAACCCATTTCTGCAAGTTTGGCCTGTCTAACAGCAAGATAGCCTTTCTGCTTCCTCTCCTAAGTGCAAAGCCTTTTC